ACGTGGCTTCATGAATATTTTATTTTCGTGCTTGGAATTTTGGACAAAAGAAATTTAAATTTGGATTTATAATTTAAGTACCCATATTTTTATATTATTTATTAGGGTTAATTATAAATTTATCTTTGGAGATTTGTTTAAAATATAAATTGCTCCATATGGTTTAGAAAATTACAAATACCTCTTTGTCAGAATTTTTTATTTAACAGAATTAATTAAAAAAGTGAAATTTCTAACTATTCACCTATACAATAATAAAATTATCTGAATTATTAATTGAAATAAAATTTTTATATTATTAAATACTATTAATTAATTTGATAATTTATTAATAAAAATATCTATTTATTATAAAATTAAAAATTATAAAAAATATAATATAATTTTTAAAATTATAAAAATTTATTTATAATTTAAATAAATCTCATATGTTTATAATTTACCCTATTTATTATTAGTATAGTATAGTATTACTCTTGTAGTGAATAAATATGGTCAACATCCTGTTTAATAATTGGACAAGTTCGTGTGACAAACATGACTTTTATAGTTTGCTTAATTTTTCAAAATTGCGGTTTCCGCGTTCGAAGACCGAGTGGTCCTCGTGGATGTAGTTGCCCTGTCATGCTATTAAAGTCTCTATGTTTGAAATGTTTTTTTTTTTTTGTTTTCCCTTTAAATTTAGGTGTTCAAATTAACTTATGTTTAAAATGGTTATCTAACATAAAGAATAAGCAGATTAATACCTTTGTCGTAATTGTGACTGATTTTTTTTTGACGATTTTTGTGTTTTATTGTTTGTACTGTTTGTATTAGATTTCTTATTTGGTCATTTGGGATTTTATAGTGTGTTTAGTTTAAGTTTTTTGGATTAAATTTTTTAAAAATTGAGTTTTTTAGTTTTCGTGTTTTTTTGTTTTTAATGAATATTTTTAAAATTTTAAACATTTTTTTTTATTTTTTTGTATTTTTGGTATTTAGTGAATTTTTAAAAGATTTTTTTTACAAATTTTTTACTTTTTAGGTATATTTATGTTAAGTATGTCTAAAAAGTTAAAAATAAATTACTTAAAATATTTAAAAAATTCAATAAAAACAAAAAAATACGAAAAAAAGAAAGTAGAATTTTTTGAAAAGTGTTTTTGGAAAAGTGTAACCAAGATTCTTTTCGTGTATGTTGTTTATTTTCTTTTAATATAATTATGTTTATCTTTTAAAAAATAAAGAAATAAAGAATATTATATATTTTATTTAAAAAATTTAAAAGAAGTTTACAAATTAAAATTACTTAATAAGATCTTTTATTTGATAAAATTAAAATTTCAATACAAGATTATATTATTATTAATTTTTTATTTTTTGTGTTGTATAAATAATTTGAGACAAGGGGAGTACTAGTGAGAGTGATGCCTATACAAGGTTGACAGAGCATCTAGCTTGGAAGCTTACACTTGGGAGATATATTAAGGTTGTGTTTGGTTCATAAATTTATAAAGGAATTTGAAAAAAGAAAAGAGAAAATTGTGTGAAATATAGGTGAAATATTATTATATTTTTCACACATTTCATCTATTTTTTTCTTTTTAAATCTCTTTCCAAAATCATAAATCAAACACAAGGTAAGGACTGGTTATTATGTTAGAGAAACGATGGACAGGCATACAAATTAAAGCGGATTGCTTGGAGGTTACTGAGCTAATCTAGAAAGAAGACTCAGAATTGTCCATTCAAAACCCTCGTTAAAGATGCGAAATTCCTTCTTAATAGGACCGGAGGTACCAAACATGCCTCTGTTTTTTTTTTAATGGTAAAACATATTATATACTAATAAAAGGTACATAAATCCAGATGCAAAACAATCATAAAACACAAAGAATTGAGTCACGAACATAGAATCCTAATAGTATGAAATAACCAAATCAAAAGAAAGGATACCAGACCCATCAGCACAGCAACACCACCAGCAAAGCACAAGTGAAACATAGGATTAGGTACGTGGTTGAAGGTTTCTTCTCTGTGGCGACTGTGTATGAGAGGGTATATAAAAAATGGGATTGATGAATAAATCTTAAATATTGAAATTGTGATCCAAATAGTCCCAAAATTTTTCTAATTTTCCGTTTGATCCTATTAGATGTGTAATGATAAATTTAACCTTTTATTGGGTGTTACAATAAGAAAAAGTAGGTGTCGTAGTGAAAAATATACACTATAGTCTTTTTAGAGCCTTTCCTTGTGGTGGAACATGTCACATGCCACATAGTTGGACTTTGTTAAGAGCATCTCCAACGGTAGTAGGTATTTTACCTATCCAAATATTACTATAAAGTATATATTTTATTTTGCCTATCAACTGTTTTATGTTTTTACTCCAACCATACTCTTTATTTTAGCTATTTATCAAAATACTATTAATTTTATAGAATGCCACGTCAACAACAAAGATGGAGGGAAATGATCCTAATGATTGAATACATTTTGCCTAGCGTTGAAGGCTAGCTACATGTAGCTAGTGAATATGAGTTGAGCCAAAATGCCTAATCATATGCCTAGTGCATTGGAATTGAAAAAAGTGAATCACACTAGGCATTTTAACTAATAAGTATTATATGCCTAGTGCATTGGAGATGCTCTAAGTGTTATAGTGGGAAAAAATGAGTGTCATAATGGAAAAAAGTACAATATAACCTTTTTAAAACTCTTCTTTGTGGTGGAACATGGAACATGCCACATGCCACGTCAATTGGATTTTATTGGATGTTACAATGAGAAAAAGTGAGTGTCATATTGAGAAAAAGTACACTATACCTTTTTAGAATCCTTCCTTGTGATGGAACATGCCACATGCCACATCAATTGAATTTTATTGGATGTTACAATGAGAAAAAGTGAGTGTCATATTGAGAAAAAGTACACTATACCTTTTTAGAATTCTTCTTTGTGGTGGAACATGCCACATGCCACATCAATTGAATTTTATTGGATGTTACAATGAGAAAAAGTGAGTGTCATATTGAGAAAAAGTACACTATACCTTTTTAGAATCCTTCCTTGTGATGGAACATGCCACATGCCACATCAATTGGGTTTTTGTTGAGTGTTACAGTGAGAAAAAGTAAATGTCATAGTAAAAAATAATACAACCGTTCAACAAAAATTACCAAACATACAAAATAGGATCTTATGGTTATATTGTCAATACCAACAGAATTTATAAGAGCCACAGAAAAAATATGAGACTAATTGGAGTAAGTGTTTCTAAGATGAGACTTTTGTAATTTTTTCTATAAAAAGGTATATAAATTAATAGGTACATAATAAAAAAGTATGTTTAAATAAAAACAACTCAATATAATTATCACTTTTATGAAAGTGCAACAAAATTTGTTTCCATTGCAAGTAAAAGCATGGCAAAGGATGCGTTATTCATTTCTTCGACTTACACTTTTATAAGAATACAATTATTTTAATTTATTCGTACTTCTATACAATTTTTTTTTTAAATTTAATTTAGGAAAATTGGGCTGGAGTCAAATTTTAAAACTTCTACGAAAAGTGTTCCAAACTCTATTTTTTTAGGGTCGTAAGGATAATAACAATTTGAAACACACATCAAGTTATCCCCTTATCCACCTATATGTATTATCTACCCACATTACCATCATTGATCACCACTAATCTCTTATGCCAACAATTTTATCAGCGACTCTTTGATGATTGTAAATTTTCCAACTTCAACAAATCTCTAGCAACGATTGGTAGTATTTGTGAATGAAAAAATACCAAAATAAAAATAAATAAATAAACATTATCCTTTAAAATGATAATTTTTATTTGTCACCAATTTATTTTATTATTCATATCCTTATAATCAAAACTGAAGAATAACACTATATACACTCATAATAATCAACTTATGATCAAATTTTATTTTTATTTGCACTCTCCTCAAAACACCTTATGTAATTTTTTATTTTTATTTTTGTGGTCAAAATCAAAATAGATTGATGGGTTTATTGATAAAATTATTCACAACGGAAAACCTATTTTAAGAAGAAAAACCTAATCAAGCAAATACTGACGTAGCAAACTATTTTAGGGAAACTGTAATTAAGGGTTGTTTTGGAAAGTGGATTAAAAGTTGATTTTTTTTTAATTTTTTAGTTTTTTTTTAAAAATGTATAAAAAATAGAGAGATTGTGTAACTTTAAAAAGGTTAAAAAGTTAACTTTTTTACTTTTAACCTAATTGTCAAAATGGCCCTAAGGCCTCGTTTGAGAATAGGTTTTTTTAGTAATTTTTTGAATTTTTGATTAAAATATTATGTAAAAAAATTAGTATGTTTAGAATGATTTTTTAATTTTTTTACAAAAAGATATGTAAAAAGTAAAGAGAAAATGAAATATTTAACTTTTTTATGTAAGTTGTTGATTTTTTGATTTTTTTAATGATTTTTTAGCTTTTAAATAAAAAAGTAATATAAACGAGACTTAAGGCCTCGTTTGGGAATAAACTAATTTAGTAACTTTTTAGCTATTTGGCTAAAATATGAGCTAAAAAAAATTAGTATATTTGGGATAACTTTTGACTTTTTACGAAAAGATGTGCAAAAAGTAGAGAGAAAATAGAATCTTTGACTTTTTTGTATGAGTTGTTGATTTTTTGACTAATTTAATAACTTTTTGACTTTTTGGTTAAAAGGGAAGGTTCCCAAACGAGGTCTAAGTGAAAAAACTTTAAAAAAATTGTAAAATAAAAGTAAAATTTATTGATTTTAATAATTAAAGTGATAGATGTTTTTATGATTTTGCATATATATAAATATATATTTTTTTTTTGAGTCTTGTATTTCCACTTAATTATAATTTTCCCTACTATTTTTGACCGACTCCAATTCATTCCAGGTGTAGGATAAAATTTCCTACTCTGAAATTTCTCAGAAACTATCACATTGCGAGTCGCGATACACGTAAAACACGTATAAATAAGGGCTTACTTGACTTTCAACCATAGACCAAAATCCAATCGGCCGTGTAGCCAACCAGCACAGCTTGTACAAAAATCACACCCAAGAAAATATTTTATTTTCCCGAGAAAGCGTTTTCCCGGGAAAACAAGGTCGGTTCGAGTCTCTCCCAACCGCCGGTTGAGCAGATGGCGTCTCTCAGCGTTCGTTGCGGCGTAACAAACCACCCTTCGATCCACCACCGCCTCGCCGTCGAACGGACTAATCCAAATCCAAATCGCATTGCCCCGTTCCAATCATCGAGAAGAGCACCACCGCGAATCTCCGCCGCAACGACGACGGCGGATTATCCGATTTCTACGTCGTGTTCTGTGAATCAGGAGGGTTCGAATAACAACAACGGCGCTCTGTTTTCATCAAATCTTGACGAGTGGATGAGAGATTCCGCGGCGGAGATCGTGAAGAACCTTCGAGAAGCGCCGCTGTTCGTGCAGATTTACGCCGCCAACAACGGCGGAGCGACGCGGTTGGAGACGGAGAAGGCGGTGGCGGAGGATTGGCCGGTGGTGGCTCGTCGGTGGAAGGACGGAGATACGCCATCGCCGGACGGTCTCATTCTCGTGGAAGAGCTCGGCGGCGGCGATGAAGAAGAAGAGGAGGAAGAGAGGGTTACGAGGGCATGGGGGGTTGTGGTGCAAGGAAAGGGGGTGGAATGCGGGCCGGTTTGTTACTTGCTGAAGACGAGTAGGGTCGTCGGATCGGGTTTGGGGTTGTGTTGTACCCATTTTTGTTTGATGAAAGTTCAGGGTTTCAGGGAAAGTGCTCTGTCACAGCTCACCAATTGTTGGTTGTTGGATTGAATAAATGTATAAAGAGAGAATTTATTGTTTGGAAATTGGATTGGTACAGGAAATTCCAATATGATCTGTGAATGTCACAACTTGACAGGTACACTTCAATACTGAGAGAGCTTTGTTGAAACACACTACGATTTGTTCAAAATCTTGTTTCATGCTTTAGTTCGTAATATGCAATTTAGAATTTTTTAGTATTTTTTTGGTTGTGTAGTTTTTTTTTTTTTTTTTTTTTTTCGAGTTACATATCCCACTAAAAGTGGTATTTTAAAGCACCACTAATGAGTTGGTACTCATTTTTTTTTTTAAAAAAAAAAAAAAACAAGGCACAAAAATATTGTGACAGTGGATCCTGCCCACTGTCACATCATTAGTGGTAGTACTAATTAGTGCTCTTACTCATTTTTCTTTTGGTAATTGACAAAAAAATGGAGTTTAGAATTCATCTTTTTATTATAATATATTTGAGTAGAAAAATTGTATTTTCATTGTGCAAATTTATTCTCATTGAAGGTGATTTTTGGAGTCCAATTTATTTTTCTTTGGAATCCAATTTAGAGCTGGTTTGGAAAGAGTTAAAATGTCTAAATAAGTATAAAAAGATAAAAATAATGGATTATTTGGAGTGTCTTAAATAAGTGTACTTTTTATCTTTTTGAACTAAAAAATTGAGGAAGAAAATATGAATATTTTGGTTAACTTTTTGACTTTTTATGAAAAAATGTGTAATAAAAAATTATAAAAATTGATTTGTAGGAAAAAAATTAAGATTGAGAGTTGTGCAGCCGTAATTGTTGACTTTTGATGAATAGTGTTAACTTTTTAACTTTTTAAGTAATTTTTTGATTTTTTAATTTTTTTACAATATACCAAATTTAACCTAAGTCAATCAATAAAACAAAAGATCACGTTTAAATTATAATCATTTCTCTTTTTCTTTCATAACCCTCACCTGCGTATTCAAATAATAAAATAAATCAAAAGTTATTTTCAAACAAAATTAATTTTAATTAAATTAAAAAAAAATTAATATTAACTCTTTCAAAACGAAGGCATAGTTTCAAGAGAAACAAACAAAAAAAGGTGTTCAATAGTCTTAGGCAATAAATATTTTTGGTCAAATTTGACGGGGGAATGGATTCAAAACAGCCTTTAATTAGTTTGTAAAGTCTCAATGCCATGGGAACAAATTCCATGTTAAAACTTGAGGGGATGGAAATAGAAGCATGCAGCATTTCCATTTAATTATATGGGTTGGATTTATCTAAATTTAAATATAAATTTAAAAAATATTATCGATAATTCAAATTATTTATTTTATTTTATAGATTTTTAAATATATAATACTTGTAGTGGAGCCACGTAATATTTGTTGAATTATGTTGAATGATTATTATATTTAAATAGTAGATTTTTCCTTCCTTGGATACATAAAGAATAGAATAGCAACATAAAAAACTACTAACCCTTTGGATTTGCCTCGTCTCTTTGAAACTTGAACTCCAAGTCATCTCCATGAGTTGCTTGAATTGAAATTGTACGGGAAGCAAATATTTCGCAGAGTCCGTACTCCTTTCGTCCAAGTTCCTTATCTGTCCAATCGACCTGCGAGCACAACGACAGTGAGCTACCCGGCGGTATATGGCTGGAAAATCCCTCCGATGGTTAAGTTAGCACACACTTACGGAGAGAGAAAGGAGAGATATCTCACAATGAGTGTTTTACCAAATGATGTTCCATCCCCAGCATGGGGGCACAGACACGCTTATATACTTTCTGTGCCCAAATCTGCTCTTATTAGTCTCTTGACACGTGGTGCTGCTCTCCCATCTGTCAGCACAAATCCTGCAATCACCACCTAACCAAACCGTCAGGCTATATTGGCAGAGCCCGGCAGACCGGCGGAATCACCTCGGCCTTTCACGACCGCGCTGCGCAGCGTACCCGAGTGCTCCACTCGCCGAGCTCCAGAACGACCGAGCTCGGCTGCATTCCAGCAAAGTCGAGTTCAAGATAGGTCGAGCAAGCAAACCGAAGGCCTTCCTGCCGCGCTAAACGCGTGAACCGTGGAATCCAGACTGGCAGGCAATCATCTCGGCCGAGCAACTCAAGTAGCTCGGTTTTCTACATAGACAAGCCCAAGTAGCTCGGTCCCAACATGGTCCTACGCCTCAACCGAGCAAAACCTTATCTGGACGAGCCCAAGCTATCACAGCCCAAACATGTTCGGCCCCTCATTTTGCTCGGCCCCTCATTTTGCCCGGCCTTTACCATGGCCCATTCCAGCTTATAAATCTCCCTCTCAATTGCCCCTTAATTCCATCCGCGCAAGCGTGACTGGGATTACATGGTCCGTCCGGGGTAGCCTCACCCTCGGATTCCCTGCATCAAACAACGAAGCCGAGTACAAAGTGCTACTGGCCGGACTTAAGACCGCTCGAAACTCTTTTTAGCCCGGTCATTACCACGGCCCAAAGCCAGATTATGAAATCTCCCTCACAAGCGTGACCGTAATTAAATTACAAGGCCGGGCTAGACTTTTCGCTCGGTGGTTCATTTTGCTCGGTCGGCGAGCAAGGTCAGCTCGGCGACTTTATTCTTGACGAGCAAGATCAGCTCGGCAAGGAACTCCAAGGTCGGAGGGCAAGGTCTGCTCGGCGACTTGCTTCTTGGCGAGCAAGATAAGCTCGGCAAGGAACTCCATGGTCGACGAACAAGGTCCACTTGGCGACTTTCTACTTGACGAGCAAGATCAGCTCGGCAAGGAACTCCATGGTCGACGAGTAAGGTCCGCTCGGCGACTTGCTTCTTGGCGAACAAGATCAGCTCGACAAGGAACTCCAAGGTCGGCGAGCAAGGTCCGCTCGGCGACTTACTTCCTGGCGAGCAAGATCAGCTCGGCAAGAAACTCTAAGGTCGGCGAGCGAGGTCCACTTGGCGACTTACCTCTTGGCGAGCAAGATCAGCTCGGCAAGGAACTCAAAGGTCGACGAGCAAGGTCAGCTCGGTGACTTTCTTCTTGGCGAGCAAGATCAACTCGGCAAGGAACTCCAAGGTCGGCGAGCAAGGTCCGCTCGGCGACTTATCTCTTGGGAGCAAGATCAGCTCGGCAAGGAACTCAAAGGTCGACGAGCAAGGTCAGCTCGGCGACTTTCTTCTTGGCGAGCAAGGTCAGCTCAGCAAGGAAGTCCAAGGTCGGCGAGCAAGGTCCACTCGGCGACTTACTTCTTGGCGAGCAAGATCAGCTCGGCAAGGAACTCCAAGGTCGCGAGCAAGGTCCGCTCGGCGACTTGCTTCTTGGCGAGCAAGATCAGCTCGGGTAGGAACTCAAGGTCGGCGAGTAAGGTCCGCTCAGCGACTTTCTTCTTGGCGAGCAAGATCAGCTCGGCAAGAAACTCCAAAGTCGGCGAGCAAGGTTCGCTCAGCGACTTACCTCTTGGCGAGCAAGATCAGCTTAACAAGGAACTTCAAGGTCGGCGAGCAAGGTCTGCTTGGTGACTTACTTCTTGGCGAGCAAAATCAGCTCGGCAAGGAACTCCAAGGTCGGTGAGCAAGGTCTGCTCGGCGACTTACCTCTTGGCGAGCAAGATCATCTCGGCAAGGAACTCCAAGGTCGTGAGCAAGGTCCGCTCGGCGACTTGCTTGTTGGCGAGCAAGATCAGCTCGGCAAGGAACTCAAAGGTTGGCGAGCAAGGTCAGCTCGGCGACTTTCTTCTTGGCGAGCAAGATCAGCTCGGCAAGGAACTCCAAGGTCGGCGAGCAAGGTCCGCTCGGCGACTTACTTCTTGGCGAGCAAGATTAGCTCGGCAAGGAACTCCAAGGTCGCGGGCAAGGTCCGCTCGGCGACTTGCTTCTGGCAAGCAAGATCAGCTCAGCAAGGAACTCCAAGGTCGGCGAGCAAGGTCCGCTCGGCGACTTTCTTCTTGGCGAGCAAGATCAGCTCGGCAAGGAACTCCAAGGTCGACGAGCAAGGTCCGCTCGGCGACTTACCTCTTGGCGAGCAAAATCAGCTCGGCAAGGAACTCCAAAGTCGGCGAGCAAGGTCAGCTCGCGCGACTTACTTCTTGGCGAGCAAGATCAGCTTGGCAAGGAACTCCAAGGTTGGCGAGCAAGGTCCGTTCGGCGACTTACCTCTTGGCGAGCAAGATCAGCTCGGCAAGGAACTCCAAGGTCGCGAGCAAGTTCCGCTCAACGACTTGCTTCTTGGCGAGCAAGATCAGCTCGGCAAGGAACTCCAAGGTCGGCGAGCAAGGTCCGCTCGGCGACTTACCTCTTAGCCAGCAAGATCAGCTCGGCAAGGAACTCGAAGGTAGGCGAGCAAGGTCAGCTCAATGACTTTCTTCTTGGCGAGCAAGATCAGCTCAGCAAGGAATTTTAAGGTCGCGAGCAAGGTCCGCTCGGCAACTTGCTTCTTAGCAAGCAATATCAGCTCGGCAAAGAACTCAAAGGTCGGCGAGCAAGGTCAGCTCGGCGACTTTCTTCTTGGCGAGCAAGATCAGCTCGTAAAAGAACTCCAAGGTTGGCAAGCAAGGTCCGCTCGACGACTTACTTCTTGGCGAGCAAGATCAGCTCGGCAAGGAACTCCAAGGTCGCAAGCAAGGTCCGCTCGGCGACTTGCTTGTTGGCGAGCAAGATCAGCTCGGCAAGGAACTCCAAGGTCGGCGAGCAAGGTCTGCTCGACGACTTTCTTCTTGGTGAGCAAGATCAGCTCGGCAAGGAACTCCAAGGTCGGCGAGCAAGGTCCGCTCGGCGACTTACCTCTTGGCGAGCAAAATCAACTCGGTAAGGAACTCCAAGGGCGGCAAGCAAGGTCAACTCGGCGACTTACTTCTTGGCGAGTAAGATCAGCTCGGCAAGGAACTCCAAGGTCGGCGAGCAAGGTTCGCTCGGCAACTTACCTCTTGGCGAGCAAGATCAGCTCGGCAAGGAACTCCAAGGTCGCGAGCAAGGTCCGCTTGGCGACTTGCTTTTTGGCGAGCAAGATTAACTCGGTAAGGAACTCCAAGGTCGGGGAGCATGGTCCGCTCGGCGACTTACCTCTTGGCCAGCAAGATCAGCTCAGCAAGGAACTCAAAGGTTGGCGAGCAAGGTCAGCTCGACGACTTTCTTCTTGGCGAGCAAGATCAACTCGGCAAGGAATTCTAAAGTTGATTAAAACTATCAACAAATTTCTTGCCGAGTAAAATCCATCCGACAA